TTAGGAAGGTATGTATTAGAATAAGTATATAATTGATCTGGAAATCTGTAACTATATGAGTAAGTATAGTTTCTTCAGAAATATATATATCTAGTAGCTAAGTTAAATAATATTAAAGGTTGTTAATTAATTAAAATTAAGTTCTGTTTTGTTGTATTTTTAATTAGAGAAGTGAATGCAAAATGTTTTTCTTAGTTGCTTATATGATTATTTATTAATGTTAAAAAGAATATTAATAATAACTTAAAAAGCAGTTTTATATAATATGTCAGAGTTTTGAATTGTTAATATAAGTAATTTTGTGATAAGTCCTTTAAAGATAAAGTTAAAATAGAATATATTAGATAGAATATATAAATGATTAAGAGCTAAGTAATGAAGACTTTTGTTAATTAAATTATTTTTTTGATAAGTATTAAGATTAAATAAGTTCTTAAAAACAATTTGATTGGTAAAAGTTTGAATAATTAGATTGAATAAAAGTGCATTAGTACAGATACACTAATGGAAATAAAAATAGTTAGTATCTGGGTATTGGTTTAAGTAAATAGTATGAAATAATTAATATATCAATAATTTATTAAAAAGAATTTAATTTTAAAAGATTTTAGTTAGTTAAGTTTAAAATTAGTAGTTATAATTAATATAAAGCTAGCAAATTTTCAATTAATATCTTAATTAAAATATGACTATTTAGAGTTTGGAACTGATTTTAATAATTCAGATTTATCAAATAAATTTTGTAATATTTTAGAATTTATTAAAATTTAATTAGATAAATTTCTAAAATATCCCAAAACTCATAGGATAAACTTGAATTATTAAAACCAGTTTCAACTTCTATGACCATTCACTGTAAAGTTTTTGTAATGTCTATATAACTAAAATATAAGGTTTATATATTTGTTTAATAAAGTATCTTGAAAGAAGTTCTATACAATGTTGTTCATATTGAAGAAAATGATAAAGATTATAAAGATTTGTATAATTAAATGAGAGGAATAGTAATAATAAATATTATTTAGTAAGAAAATCTGTTTGTTTATTAAGATTATTATCTAAAACTTACATTTTATAGAAAATAATTTAAAGTTTATATGATTTAATAATATTTAAAAAAGTGTGCCAAATAGACTATAAGTTAAATTTAAATAGCTTGTTTGAATATATTAAATTAACTTGAAGACTATTGAATTTAGAAATTACTAATTAAGAATCAGTAAAAAAATTAACTACTAAATTGCAAAAAGCTGTTAAAATTGTAGTAACAATAAAAAAAAACTTAGTTTGTATAATAAGAGCTAAAATTATATTTTGGTAAAAGAGTTAATAGTTTGATTCTTATTATCAACTTAGATTTAACTAATACTTATTATGTATTGATTAGTTCTGATATTAATTACTAAGCTATTAGTTTAAAAAAATAGTTATTAATAAGAATATTTATAATAAGAGATGGATTTAAGTTTGTTAATGACTTTATTACTTGGGAGATTAACAATTTATTTATTTTAATAAGTTGCTATATTTCTACTAAATATTTTTTATTTTAACAATAATAATAAAATCTGATTAACTATAATATAAAGATTATAAATTGATAGTTTTAAACAAAACTTATACAAAACTTAATAAGATATATAATAATTAGTATTTTAAATAAAAATAACAATAAATAATATATAAAAATATTAAAAATTAAATTTATTTATTATTTATTAAAATGTATAAAGATACTTAACTTTTTTAAAAAACAAGAAAACAGTATTTTTATAGATAATTTATATATATAAATAATTACAATAATGACTATTTTATTCTAATAAATATTATATATAGTAATATTAATATATATAAAAACTAAAATATATAATAGATATAATATATATAATATATATAAAAGATATTATAAATATTAAAAAAATAATAATAATAATAATAATAATAATAATAATAAATCTAGTAAAATGATAGATTTCTAATATAATGAGAACCAATTAAAATTAAGTTATATATATTAAATTAGTACTTTATAAATTATTTTGATCTTGTAATTTAGTAATCAGAATTATATGATCTTATATTTTTTAGAACTATCTTAGTTTTATTTAATTTAATATAGTATATTAAAGTTATATTCAAAAATATGTAAAACTTTTAATATCAACAGTAGAATTTTAAAAGAAACATTTTAATTATATAATAAAAAATAGTTTTTTTAATAAAAATCTTAAGCTATTTCTGTTTTTTGTTTTATAAAAAATAGATCAGTTTTAATTTTTATATTATATCCAATTATCAAAATTATAGAAGTAACAATTTTTTATAAAATAACAAGAGGCATTTAAAATAAGAAAATATATTATTATAATAAAAAGTATAAAAATTTTAAACTATATTTAAATGTATTAAAAAAAATAGGTACAAATATATTAAAAATAAATATTTACTAAAATAACTGTATTATATATAATACAATACATCTTATTTATAAATTTTTTAATAAAAAAGTCATTTTATTTATATTAATATATTAAAACAGATGTAATTTTGATGTTTTAAATAATATTATTTAATAGTAGAGTACAACTTTTGCAAATTATATATAAATTAAATGTACAATTTTTTAATATTTTATTTTACTTAAAATTTTATTAAATAACCTATTTTTTAGCTTTTAAAAAAAGTTGTAAACAGGTTTTTGTAATTTTAATAATTATAAAATTATTAAAATTAGTTAAATATTCATTAAGATGTGAATATTTAAATATCTAGTTTTAAAATTTAAATAAAATTTTATATTGTATGTTATGGAAATTAGCTAATCAAATTTGATTATTTTATTTATCTTAAAGAATTTAAATTTATCTTGAAGAACTTTATAATATATACAAATATATTTTTAAAATAATTTATCAAATAAAATTTATACATTAGATAAAATATGTTTAACTCTATATACTATAAAAATTTGATAAAATTTAAATATAAACATAAAAAGTTTTATTAATAATATCTTTCAATTTTTTGTAAAAATAAAAATTGGTTATGCAGATTATATAAAAAATGATCTACACATACTCTACTCTTAAGAGTAAGGTATAATATTTTAAAATTATATTGTTGCATAGCAAATTAGCAAGTCTGTTGCTAATTTATTTCAATCTTCATATAACTTATAATGACTAAGTTGAAATAGATGTGTTAGATTTGACTGGTGGTTTTTCTATAGGTAAGTACTATTTTTCTATGCTAAGTCCTTTCTTTAACCTATTCTTTTATTAATTTTTGCCTTCTTTTGTCTTCTCTTTACTTCTTTAACCTGTGTTATAGAACATCAAATCAGATTGGAGTTCTTCTCTTGCATTAACAATTTGATTATATGACTTACAGCAAATAAACAAAATTTAGTTTAGTAATTTAATAATAGATGAATAATAATTGGATACAATGGGTTAACAATAGTTTTCAGTTAGATTAGATTATAATTTACTTTTAATATAGGTTTAATACTTTAGTTTATTTAAGCAAAAATGTATTTACTTAGAGGTATCACTTATTACTTTCCTTCTGAGCAAAAAGACCTTTATTTATAATAAAACTTTTATTTACATTCAAGAATAATTTTCTCTATATTATTTATTTAAACTATATTATTTTTAAAACTTCTTTTTTCACTATAATAATGAAAAACCAAATGTCCTATATACCATTAATTTACTTAAAATAATAAAAGCAATAAATGTAACAAAAGTAATAAAAGTAAGAAAAGTAAGATAAATCTTACTTTTTATGTAACTAATTACTCAGATAGAGATAAGACCTAATTCTGATAATTAGTCACATATGACTGTAACTGATTTTGAGGCTCACAATAGATAAACTTAATGATATTTTATTTTGTAATTTTATTTAGAAAAATTTTATTAATTAAATACTTTATGAACTTTTAAATAAAATTATAAAATAGGTTTTTATAATTCTACCAATAATAAAATTATTAAATTTGACTTAAAACTTATCAATATATAATTTTTAAAAATTAGATATAAAAATTTACTATTAAAATTCTCTTATAATTTTTCAAAAATTAGCTAATTAAAGTTAAACCTTTTGTGTAAACAGAAAAAAATATAAAGTGTTTAGAAAAAATTCAAGCTATATACAAATATATTTTTTACATTAAACACTTATAAAATTTTAATATAATAAATAACATAGTTAAATTTATATATTATTGAATTTTGATAAAAATTAATTAAAAAATAAAAAAGTTTTATTAGTAATACATTTTAATTTACTATAAAAATCTATTATACCATCTAGGTCATATGAAAAATGATCTATGTACACCCTACCCTTAATGCTCAAATATTAAACTTTTATAGATATTGATTTACCAACATTCAAGTTATTTAAAAATTTAAGTTTTAACAGTTTCAGGTTTGGAATGGTTTCAGACGTGGAAGAAGTTTCAAATTTTTGATGATATTTCAAAAAAATTATAATCCAAAATCAAAAATTTTCAAATCTGTTAAAAAGGTTTCGGAAACCAGGTATATAAATAGATTAGGTTGCTGTCGAGAATGTAGCAAGAATTGTATGGGTTTCTTAGATTAATACTATTCGACTCAATGAATCACGTAATGTACAAATCTTATTATTCATAGTTTACATCATATATCCCACAAACTTAACACACTTCACGTTACATTGGATTTTGTAAACAAATATATTATACTGTAACGTTACGTTATGAATTCTTTAGGGCTGATTTCATTAGATCAATAGGAAAATTACAACCCAACTCAATAAATAACTGCGAATGAATTTATGTGAATACTGTCTTTTAATAAATAATTTAGTCGTATAAAAAAATTTAAAGAATAAGTTACACCAGAATCAATATAACATTGTTTTATTTAATAATGGTGATAAAATTTTAATTGATACAGTATAATGAGCAGATCATTGGACACGTTTGCAAAGTGCTATGATCATTATTTCAAAAATTCTATCGTCCAATCCTCAGTGATAAACAAATTAGAGCCCTTTATGACGACTGTGTTAGTAGTATTAACTTCAGACGATGTATCAAAGCATTTTATGTCGAATTGTAATTCAACATTAGAATTTGCCGTGCGATTATTATAATGTAATAATTTGTTAGGTTTCATATCGAGTCCTAGTACTATTATTTGTTCAACATGAACAGAGCTAATTGATTTTGCATAAATATTGTTATCATTGTCTGATAATGATAATGATTTAGATGTCAATTTTCCATCAGAGAATGTAAATTGACGATAAACAAAACATCCTTTTTCATAATCATATGTTTCACCATCATCTAGATATAAAGAACCAATTGCTTCGCTCTTAAAAAAAAAAAAAGAAAAAAAAATTAAATATTGTTAAAATTAAGATAGATGAAAGCATAAATATATAACTTACATTTTCGTTTAATGCAATCACCAATGTCAAAGGATCTAAATGCATAACCGATGAAGAACCTCGAATTTTTTGCCGTTTTGTAATAATGGACCCACCACGTAAAAAGACAGGGATCTTGTTCAATGGAGCTTTAATTCGAACTTTACTAGATTTACAAATTTTTTCAAACGTATAATAATCATAATATATCTGAAAAAATTATATAACATTGAATTAATAATCAAATTTAACAATCTAAAATTTCTGAAAATATATCTAACCTCATTTCTTGAAAAATAAACTTCAGTAGATGTTTGACCTTCCTCTACAATCGGCTTGATAAGTAATGAATTTCCAACAAAGTATTGATCTTCCATTTCGAAAACTTTTTCATCATCAGGATAGATTATAAACATAGGTCTGATACAAAATAAAGTTAATGGAAGATTGAAATTTATTATTAATTAAATAATTAAAAACATTATGTACAGTACCTTATGATTGGCATTCCAGTGGTACTAGCTTCGTGAAATATAGTATACCATAAAGGTAACAAAGAATATCTTTCTCTGATTATATCACGGATATAACCAGTATATGGATCACCATATAACCATGGTTCGCGTCTTTTTGTATCTATATGAGCATGTGCACGAAAGAATGGTTGAAAAGCTCCTGCTTGATACCATCGAACCATTAGTTCAGGCTTGGGATCATCTAAAAATCCTCCGACATCAGCTAAAACGAAAGATTAATATATTTTATTAGTTTTTTTCTTTATGCAAATTGTTATTAAAGAGGAATCAAATGGTTAATTCATTGAATATTCGAATTAATTCAGTTGAAACTATATAAATGATTAATTCGAATATTCACACACATATATATATATAATACTTATATATTTTTTTGCATAGGAATGCCTGAATGCGTACAAATATATCTGTCTATTATATAAATATATACTTATGCCATAAAAATATATTATTTATATATTTTTGATTTGAATTTATATGAATTTATATAAACTTATTTAAATTGATTCAAATTCAGTTTATAAAAATTCAAACCTCAAATTAAAATCGATATCTAATCTCTAATTATTTGTTACATACATCCAGAAAATGGCAACCCAGAAATACCGAGAGACAATAACATAGGAACCGATATCGCCAAATAATCCCAACTTGCAGCATTATCACCCACCCAAATAGGACCATGACGTTGAGAACCCACAAAAAATGATCGAGAGAGTACGAAAGGTCGACGTGGTGGATCGGTACGATTTATGAGTCCTTTAGCAGTTGCACTGTGCTGAAATAATCAAATACATTAATAATCTGTTTCTAAAACTAAGTGAAACGAAATTCTTAGAACTCACATAAGAAAGCCCATAAATATTATGCAAATCTCGATGTTCCCAACCTCCGTAATGAATAAGATCTTTCGGCATTGTAATTTCGGGGCCACTGAAAGTCGATGGCTTAGTTTAATAGGATAATGCGGTTAATTATTTTAGATGAGCTATTAAAAAGGCTTTAGATGTAGAATCTTGAAATAATACCTCATTCATATCATTCCACGTGAATAAACTTTCCGTTGATCCCTTTATTTCAATTATTAAATATAAGATTGTATCAACAAAGTTATGCGTAATAGTTATTGTCTTGATATATCATGCCTAAATTTAATTCGAATTGAATTCATAAAATAAATTAAATGAATTTACCTTATATTGATCAAATGCAAATTTTTTACTCCACCATTCTTGTGCAGAAGGATTAGTATAGTCTATCCACGAGGAACTACCTGTTTTTCATATAATTTAATAAAACAAATTTATGAAATTTAAAAAACAAAATCGAAAAGATACATGCCTGGCCAGCATTGCCCTTCATATTCTTGACCATTAGACTCTTTGACAAAAAGATCTAGATTACTAGCTTCTTTATATATATAATAATTTTTATCTCGCTTCACATGCGGATCAATAATCGTTACCATCTAACAAAGGATTTATACATAATTATTATAATATCAATGTCAAATGTCGTAGTTGAAGCTGGAAATTGGATTTTTTTTTTTTTTAATATAGAATTTTGTTAAGATTCTCTGGTATATTCTTTGTAGTTAGGTTAAGATTTAGTGTTAGAATTTATAATAAATGGATTTTATAAGAGCTCATACGTTTAAATAGAGACCTCTGATTTCCAGCTTCAGCTTTAGCAACAACATTAAATATGCTTAATGTCATAAAAAAACAAAAAAGCTTACCTTACGCCCTTTTTTCATAAGATCTTTTTGCATTTTTTCAGGGTCTGGAAACTTATCAGCGTCCCACGTAAAATATTTTTTCCCATCAGTATGCTCAATATCTAGCCATATCACATCATAAGGAATATCATGTCTGTCAAATCCTTCGTCTACTTCAGCAATATCCTTTTGGTCAAGATAATTCCAACGACATTGATGATAGCTAATCGCAAAATATTGAGGTAGTGCTGTGAATCCAGTGAGCAATCCATATTGACAGAAAATTTCCGAAGGTTTGCCAATAAAAGCAAATACATCGATGATGCCAGACTCGGAAAACCAATGAGTTTTAGTCGAGTTAAGGGATTTATCAAAATTAGGTAAGTTTGATGAATCATACTGATAAAAAAAATAAAAGATTAAAACCATTTCAAGGGTTTTAATTAACCACATAACAATAAAAATAATGTCTAAACCTTATTCTCTTTACTCTTAATTACGTCAATCCATGTTTCTGACGCATTTAGCCATAAAACAGCCGCTGATGCACCTTTTCGATGTGCCATCATAAATGGAATAGATCCATAAATTGATGTCGGGCTGTCTATTTTATACTTACACACATCCAGATTATACAAACGATAAGGATCAGTGTAGGCACCATTACCTCCTCTATATGAAATTATAAATAATGAGTTTTTTTAAAAAGAAAAATATTGATAGTAGTCACTTAAATGTCATATACCGTGTCTCTTTTAATGAAAGTTCTGATGCATGTTCAGGAATGCCATATACATGACCAAATCCTGGAAATGAGATATCAAGTCCGATAGATTCTGAATCTGTTTTATGCAAATCAAAGCAAAATTAATTACGATGAATGTGACCAGTGTTGGCAAATGATTCAAATCATAATTTTTTTTAAATATGAATTTCATCATGAAATTTTTGGTATGTTTTTTTTAGTCATAGATTACGTAACAGTAAAAAAAAATTTAAAATTATTAAGAGGCAGTCCGCCTCTGAAGGATATAAAAATATTTTTTATAATGATTGGATGAAATGAAAGTTTTTTTTTTACGAACTTCTTTTGGGCCTCTAACAGTGCTGTAGAGACAGTTGTTCCGACTCTAATGCTAATGACGGTAAAATAGACCCTTAAAAAGTTTATAACCAAATGACTTAAGACCAGCCATAGAGGTCTTTATTTTGATGACTTACCATTCAGATCTTTTTCTTTTAAATGTTCGAAATTAAAGAAACCACGATCATTCAATATGATAGTCGGTATATTATCAACCCAAATTTCTACTCGAAACGGAGAATGATAGATTAAAATCGATTGATTTTTTTCTTTGCCAAAAGCAAAAGATGATACTTCTGGCTTAGAAGGGATATGACTATATTCTAAAGTATTTAATGGATCTTCAACAAGAGCCCAATCTTTTACTTTATCATAACGAGGTTTTAAGGGATTTTTTTCATTAATTCTAATTCTTACGGCACCAATTTCCAGAATATGTAATTCGAAAATATATTCTACATTATTTTCAGAGTTAATAAGACAGCCCGAAATTATGCCATCTTTAATTACGATAGAATCTTTAATCAATGAATAAGGAGATAGGAATGATGGATTTGCAGATGCCTTATCAGCATAAGATCTATGGCGTCGAACAAAGGGACTTTGTTCGATAGATTTGGAAGGCTGCTTAGTTATAAACAATGACTTGAAGAAGTCCACAGTATTAATAAAAAAACTCTCCATTATTAGCAAAACTTCCGCAATTAACAAAGGCTGCTTGGAGTTTTGAAGTACATATGCACTTAAGGTTTCATAAAGATTATCTGGTATTCTATATATAAATGTAATGTCCAAATTACTTTGTGTAATGACGTGTCCTTTTTTAGGGACTACTATCGTTATGGACGGGAAAGTTTTTTAAAAAGCAAGTTAAAGTTAATTTAGTGTTAAGAGGTACGTATGGAGCAAGAAATTTAATAATCTCAATATGTTCATATAGAAATAATGCATAAACTGACAGGAAATTACAAATTAACTTCTTAAATTATCTATCTCAATGCAATCTTTTTGCATAGAATTATACACCAAAAATAATATCCACTTAATAGCAACTAATTTATCGTTATGCACACTGCTGAAACTCAAAATAAGCCGCTACTGGATTTAATTTATCTACATTGCGTTGGCCGTATAAAGTGATAATGGTTTTTAGATTTCTGCACCAGTGCAAGAAATTAAAAACCTCAATCTCAATAAAGTTCTTAAATTATCAATCTCAATAAATTGAATATATAATATTCAACCTTTTTTTATCAATCTTAATAAATTGAAGAATATAGAATTTTCAACCTTTTTACTTAGGAATAATACGCCAAGAAACAATATGCACGTACTTGATAGCAACTATTCTATGCGTATTTCTGAAACTTAAAATAAACCGTCACTGAATTTAGCTTGCTTCCAATGTGTTATTCTCATGAAGTATGAAGTAATTGAGGCTTTTAGATTTCCTGCACCGTACGTACGTATATCGATAGTTTACTTTTTTTTGTACGTACATTAATGTGATACAATTCAAAGGGAAGCTCATCAACCAAAAAATTTAACATGTCATGTGATTTTATAACACCATAATTGAAACATTTCGCTATTTAATAATGGTTTGAGTATTGCTAGTAGGTAAAGAATAGAGGGTTCCAGTTATGACGAAATTTTGTGAGGAAAATCTTTCGTAGTACGCAAAAAGCAGTTCAGATCTTGCAGTTTGATTGGCTACGTAATTGTTTTTTAGAATGCAACAGTTAACGCAATTATATATTAAAATAAAGCATTACGCGCTTGAAGTTGACCGATACAAAAAAAATTCAATCCGGAATATGAATTCCATCACTATAAACAGGTGAGACCGTTCAAATTCTTATTTAGTTACACGATTAATTTAACCTTTTTTTCGAATTGCTGATCATTTATAATTAGCAGTTGTTTGCTATGCGCTTTTGCTCGTGATCCGCCACATTTCCTTTTAAACTAAAACAGGTTGTAAATATGTACGTTAGTGTGACCTCTGCCGATCATCTCAACTCTGAGAATCGGCAAAATTCCTAATTTTAGCTAGCAAATAAAAATATCTTCTATTCACACTTTTCTGATACTGTATATTGTAGGTTTGGCCAAATAAAATTGGAAATTTTGGAGTCTTTTTACTACTAATCATAAAGAAATAATAATTTGCAACACTGCATCTATCGCTATAAAACCGTCTACTTTCAATTATAAGTTATAGATTTTTACTAGAACTTTCAAAAATAATCTCCAAAAAATTAAAACTGACCATGTTGATATTGAGAAATCTTCGCTCAACATTTTAAAAAAAAATTTACAATTAGGAATTTGATAATCTTGGGTATAAAATTAAATGATACCATTTTTAGCCAACCACAGAATTGTATTTGATAATAAAATCTAAATTTACGATTTTCGATTATACATGAATGGATAAATTAATTATTGGTGTTCTTAAGATCGATGTAAGTAACCTAGGTATGCTTATGATTAAATAGATGAAAGAGGATAGAGATGAATAAATCGACATTAGTAAAATTTGTTTGATTTTTCCTAATAAGTTATTATTTGCTTTTTTAATTTGCCAAATATACAGTAAACTTTTCATAGTGCTTTATATATAGTAAAAGAATTTTACTATCTTTCATTAGTTTCTCCGTCAACACGATTTCGTCAATTGTCAACAGTTTTGTTAGCTTCGTTAATCGTCAACAGTCTCGTCAGGTATATAATTTGATGAAACCTTTAGTCAATTCAAAAATAGTTTCATTTATCTTTGACTGTAATGGGAATTGACTAAATAGCATTACATATGTGATGCTGTTACTTACCTATAGGACCTTACACTGCTATCTATGTAGCATAATCACCAAAATATGACGTTTTTGCACTGCTCGTGGCAGTCATAAATCTTAACCACAATATGAAGTCTTTAGTTGCAGAGCTTAATTACCAAACATGAGGTTCTTGCAGTGCCTGCGGCAGCAATGGACCCTAAACACAATACGAGGTCTTTGCATTTCTATTATTGTCATGGAGCCTACACGTGATGATTGTTGCTTAATTCCCCGAAAGTTATTTACCTGCCAACGCATTTCCCAACACTGTAATGCAAATATGTTTTCAACAATCCTTTTCATAGACAAGACATTCTCTGATTTAAGGTTGATGTTAGTTAGAATTATATATCAGAGAATAATATTCGAAAAAATGTCTTATCTAAGAAAAGGATTGTTGAAAGCATGTAATGCCATCGAAAAATGTGCTGTAAATGAAATACCATGTCGGCATTACAGTGTCGAGAAAATGTGTTGGCAGGTAAACAACTTTCAGAGAATTGTAGATAGGACATTATTAATTAAAGAGTTTAAATAGAAGATTTACAAGCAGATTTCAAATATAACACGTAATAGATATACTATATTAATATAATAAAACTCTTAAATAGACACTAACTAAAGTTATATATAACTAAAAGTATTCTTATTAATGTAACAACTTAATTAGTTTATTTAATAAACTAGATAGCTGCGCGACGTCATCGCGCAAAACCAGGAACGGAACACTTAAAAAAATCAAACAGCTAATTATTAG